GCTTGCTGCCATGTAAGATGTGCCTGCTTCCTCTTCTGCCATGATTGTACGTTTCTTGAGACCTCCCCAGCCATACCGAACTCTGGGTTGATTAAACCTCTTTTCTTTATAAATTACACAGTCTTGGGCAGTTCTTTATAGCAGTGTGAAAACAGACTAAAACAAGCTAATGCTAACACATTGGTACTTTATATAGCCTTAAGGAAACAATAAATTGATCGCACACACACACTTATATATATATAGCATTAGCTTCATGGTTAATAGCAGTTAACAGACACAAAAGTCAAGGTGACAGACATTACTATTCACCTCATGAGTTAAAGGTTAACTGACTAACAATAGTGGCAAAAAATTTTATTGTAAAATATGTTTCTATAGACATGTAGAATCCAGAGACATGAGCATGTATGTCTTGATGAAGATACTAGATGCAGCATTCTGGCAATATTTGAAAACTGAATTACAAAAATCTGCTTCATTTCGTGGATGTACCTAAAAGTTTGGGCCAAAGGGGCAGCATTTAGAATCTGCAAGGGAGAGGAGGAGCCATTAGGAGAGAAAGAAGAAAGTAATATAGGAAAGAAAGATTAAGAACGGATGGCCATTCATATAAGGAAAGAAGGCACCTTGACTGTGTTATATTACCACTACTACACTGAGTAGTAAAGGAACTAGTATTTTATCACTAAGCAAGGAGATGCTAGGTGATCCCTCAGCAGAAAACAACACTCAAAGGACTGTACATTCTGAATTAGCAATCTTCCTGGAGAGGAAGATGACAAATGATTACCAGGTATGAAGTTCCAATCCTTATCTGATACTGATTTTCTGAAAAAGAAAATTAAGGTGGCATATAGAAATTGTTGTAAGTTGTAAAGAATCACCTGATGATATGTATGCCATTGATCTTATTCCCATTAACTAGCAGATTTTGAAAACTATCTACAGGGTTTTAGTAGTGATTAAATTTATGTTTGTTATAGGCATTATTAAAGCAGAGTGGAGTAATTTATACAATTACTATAAACATCTAGAAGGCATAGGCTACTTTTAGAGTAAAGATGCAGGGATAATAAAGTCATAGCTTTGAAACTGACCCTGCTCCCCAATTACCTGCTTAGTAATGAATGACTTGGAAAAAATAATGATGCCTTAACTTTTTAAAGGTGCAACTTAATTTTATAAAAGAATTCAAAAAAGATACTTAAAAATACTTGCTAGGCAGGGCGCAGCGGCTCACGCCTGTAATCCCAGCACTTTGGAAGGTCAAGGAGGGCGGATCATGAGGTCAGATCGAGACCATCCTGGCCAACATGGTGAAACCCCATCTCTACTAAAAATACAAAAATTAGCTGGACATGGTGGCACATGCTTGTAATCCCAACTACTCAGGAGGCTGAGGCAGGAGAATCGCTTGAACCCGGGAGGAGGAGGTTGCAGTGAGCCGAGGTCGCACCACTGCACTCCAGCCTGGGGACAGAGTGAGATACCATCTCAAAAAAATAATAATAATTAAATAAATGAATATTTGCTCATCAATTAAAATTCTTACATGAAAATTAAAGAATTAAAATGATTTAATATTTTCATTAATAAGGTAGATGAATTATGTCATATTGCTATTCTTTACAGTTTGGATATCACTATTGTGTGAACAGGTTTCAATAAAAGTCTACCTTATATTTTGTGTGTGACAAAAATAATATATAATTGGTTTAAATAAGTCAACCATACAAGAATGTATAAAAAGGCAGATGAATATTCTCCCCCCTGCCCCATTTAGTGTCACAACTTGCCTGTGATTTTAACATTCGGCGTGTGTCTGCTCATCTGGTACAAGTATATTGCACTTATATAGCCTTGTTCTATTTTTTTCAAAAGTGAGAAAATACACTGTAATTTTTTAAGCTAGCAATTACTGTAGACATCTCTTCTGATCCATAATTTTAGGTCACTTAAACAGCTCATAACATAGATGTGTTATAATGTTTTGACCACTGTCCCACTGAGGGACATTCAGAATATTTGTAGTTGTTTACTACTATATTAAAATGAACTTCCTTTTACATATATCTTTATATATTGCTATTTTATTTCTGTAGGATATATTCATAAAAGTAGAATTTGCCCTTTGGGAGGCTGAGGTGGGCAGATCACAAGGTCAGGAGATCCAGACTATCCTGGCTAACACAGTGAGACCCCATCTCTACTAAAACTACAAAAAATTAGCCAGGCAAGGTGGCGCACGCCTGTAGTCCCAGCTACTCAGGAGGCACAGGCAGAAATTACAGTGAGCCGAGATCGTACCACTGCACTCCAGCCTGGGCGACAGAGTGAGACTTCATCTCAAAAAACCAAACAAACAAAAAAGTAGAATTTACTAGATTAAAAATACATAAAATTGTCATTATTATCATCATTATTACTATTGAATAGGTACTACCTAAGCACGGTAAAAAGAAAAACATTCAAAAAGGAAAAAGGGATATAAAAACCTAGTCTATTACACACCGATTCCTGTTATATTTTAAAAGTTTGGAGAGGCCAGGCGCGGTGGCTCACGCCTGTTATCCCAGCACTTTGGGAGGCCAAGCCGGGTGGATCACGAGGTCAGGAGATCGAGACCATCCTGGCCAACATGGTGAAACCCCGTCTCTACTAAAAAGTACAAAAAATTAGCTGGGCGTTGTGGCGGCGCCTGTAGTCCCAGCTACTCCAGAGGCTGAGGCAGGAGAATGGGGTGAACCCGGGAGGAGGAACTTGCAGTGAGCCCAGATCGAGTCACTGCACTCCAGCCTGGGCGACAGAGCGAGACTCCGCCTCAAAAAAAAAAAAGAAAAAAACAAAGGTTTGGAGACTATATCATCTAATATACATACTAACCCAGACGACTGAATTATGATAATCATTAATGTGTCAATAGATCCACCAGTGACTATCTTGATATGAAATATTCAATGAAGTGCCTTACTGTATTTCAGTAAAGTGTCTGTGGCAGGTTCTTACTTTACAAGCATTTAAATTGGTCACTTACATCACCTAACAGATTCTGAAAACTATTATTTTATGGATTATATAGACTACCAGATTTTCAAAGGAGAGGCAGACCTTTTAAAAAATCTGCAAATTTTGAACTTTTATTGCCCTTCCTATACAAAATGAGAATCCAGATGAACCAGTGATAACTATTTACTGGCAACAAGTTTCATGATGAATGCTTAAAGGAGCTGCCTAGAAAAAACAAAGACCTCCCTAATCACCCCACCGCCCAGGGTCACTATATGATAACAATGACTCTTAACTAGAATGCATGCTCATTAAGGGCTGGGATTATTATTTTTTCTGCTGTATCCCCCAGTGGCTAGTGTCAGAGACAGAGATTCAGTAAATACCAGTTGATTACATATTATTCAAATTTGGCCAAGAGCTTGAGGACACGGGCTTTCAAATGATCTGATTCCAACATTTAAGCAAGGAAGAGCTAAGAAGCATTCACTCTAAATAGTATACATAAAAACAATTGAAAGCAAGTAACATATGGGAAGGGTAATTCGTTAGAAGTGATGTTATTCGGCCGGGCGCGGTGGCTCAAGCCTGTAATCCCAGCACTTTGGGAGGCCGAGATGGGCGGATCACGAGGTCAGGAGATCGAGACCATCCTGGCTAACACGGTGAAACCCCGTCTCTACTAAGAAATACAAAAACTAGCTGGGCGAGGTGGCGGGCGCCTATAGTCCCAGCTACTAGGGAGGCTGAGGCCGGAGAATGGCGTGAACCCGGGAGGCGGAGCTCGCAGTGAGCTGAGATCCGGCCACTGCACTCCAGCCTGGGCTACAGAGCGAGACTCCGTCTCAAAAAAAAAAAAAAAAAAAAAAAAAGAAGTGATGTTATTCATATGATGCAAATCACACATCACATCAAAGTCTTGTTCTACTTCCTAGTTTTAGCTTTTTAGCTTTCCACAGCGCTAGGGTTAGCTAGTCTGATCCCAGAAGTATCCTTGCATCATGACCTATCACAGGTACATAATTCAACTTAATTCACACATAAATGGGGGAAAAAAAGAGAAACTTATAAGACTCAGAGGCACATTCAATAGGTTTACATTTAATAAAGGTTGTGGTGAGACACTTTAGGAAAAGTGAAGACAGAACTCTCATGGTTTGGTAATATTAAATTGGAAGCAGGGCCGGGAGCGGCAGCTCACGTTTGTAATCCCCGCACTTTGGGAGGCCAAGGTGGGCGGATCACCTGAGGTCAGGAGTTCGAGACCAGCCTGGCCAATATGGTGAAACCCTGTCTCTACTAAAAATACAAAAATTAGCCAGGCGTGGTGGCACATGGCTGTAATCCCAGCTACTCAGGAGGCTGAGGCAGGAGAATCGCTTGAACCCGAGAGGTTGAAGTTGCAGTGAGCTGAGATTGCGCCATTGCACTCCAGCCTGGGGGACAAGAGCGAGACTTCATCTCAAAAATAAACAAACAAACAAATAAATAAATAATAAACTGGAAGCAGAACTATTGACTTAAGCCCTTTTCTGTCATTTTGAGTCCAGAAAAAAATAAAAACTGCCTTTTTGCCAAACAGAAGTGATTAGTAGCAGGTTTTCCCTCAAAATGATGTAAAATTGAAATATTTTTGATTTGTATGCATTTTTTGTTACAAGTGGTAATGAGGATATAACAGTGAAACTTACAGATTAGGTCCTTTAATAACTAATACTTCCAAAAGTAAAAAAAAAAAAAAAAACACAAATATTTCCAATTAAAAGCAATGATTAAGCTTAAATACTCTCTATATAATTTGGGAGCAAAAGGGGTATCTGTAGCTATGATGTGAATCTGATTTGACAGATTTTATACTTTTACATTGAGTTTAATGACTCATATTATAAAAGGGAGCTATAACTAGTAGAAAAATAAATAAGATTCTGCTGTTTTGGAATCAGGAAATATATTTGTCATTGACTCACAAAACAAAATGTGCTTTCAAAATCTTTTGAAACAATTTTTCTGAAATTTATTTCTAAAAGAGACAAAACTTTAGAAGTGACACGTTTAAACTAAGCATACATGCGTGAGCAAAAAATAAGCACGGAATACAAAAATGAAATAGTAAAATTTTAATACAGTATTCTGAATACAAGTAGAATACCACTAGATAAGATTTGTATTTACCTAAGAAATCTATGATAGTATGGGTTGAGATAAACCAGTTTAGGATAGCCACTTCACTATTCACATTTTAATCAGTGCTGACCAGAAGCTAAAACAATTTATTTTAGGCTAAGAGTTGCAATAAAATCATAGACCCAATCTTCCTTGTTATGAATCAAATGAACATGTTTTAAGGTGATTTGTCACTTAATGGTAGCTGGGGTAAGTCATACAATAGAGAGCCCTTACAAAGACTAAGCACCAAATGATGAACTGTTTGTGGCTTTTGTTTTGGGCTATCTTAAGTTTTATTTTGTTTTCCATTAACATTCATGTGCAAATTCTTACAGGCAAAATTTTAACATGGAAGTTTCAGCTTGGAGATCTTGCCAACTGCACTTACAACAGTTTTAAAGCAACTGATACTTTCAGAACAATCTCAAGCTTAATTGGTTACCATTACAAGATGCAGAACTTTTTCTTTAATGTTTTCTGGTCCCTGAAAATTCAATAGGGCCAAATGCATTAACTGGAAATAGCATTTTTTTTAAGTCTTAATCAAAGATGATAATGGATAAAACAACTATATAGGCTCTCATACACAATCTTTCTAAATTTTCACCCTGTAAGAAATGATTACAATGTCCTTCAGGCTTGTTATACACCCCCACAGAATCAAAAAGAAAGCCAACAAAGAATTTAACATTTCAACAAGCTAGGAACTATTTACTGTAAGCATATCGTGAAATTCTGGAAGACATACTATCAATACTTTGAGAAAACACTATTAACATGTGTTGAAGAAGGCAGTTTATAAATGAAACATTACAAATCTTATGTTTATGCATACAACTTATAAAATAGAAAAAAGTTGCTATTTTTCCAATAGTATAGCATCACACTAACACTATATAGTTAAGATTGAAAACTTCTGTACACACGTTCACTACACCTCCAAAGCAGCATATGCCTCTTAGACATCCTCATTTGTTATCTAACATATGCCAATCATGGTTTCAGGGACTTGTATCAGTTTGAGCAGGCTACAACAATCATTCTGCCTTATTTCTTTAACTTTAGACAAAGTCAATTAGTTTCAGGGAACAAAAGTTTCATAATCAATGAAGAAACATTAATACCAAATCCCCACAACAAGATGGAAAACATTTCTAAGGAGAGGATATAATCCTAACAGAATGGACCAGGCCCCTAGGTACAGTGAATGTGGGAATTAGGAGTCTGAAAAATACATTAAGATATATAAAATTTAAGTGATTATCAAATCAGTAGTAACTACTAGAAACTTAAATATGAATTATTGATGTTTTTCTAATGTAACATCATCCAGTTTACTGCTTAGGACCACTCTCAAAGCTGATCTGCCATCACATTTTGCCATTAGTGCAAATGAATACCCAAATAATAGGGAGCAGTTTCAATCACATGGAATTTCAAAAAACAGAATGATTGTATATCTAACTTTTTGTATTCTGAAAATAGTGCTATAAAACTCAATTATTCCTAGCTTCTAAAATCTACCATCTTGGATAGTTCAAATTAAACATGGTTGCCTGCAAATTCTTTTCTAGAGGAAGTAAATGCAAAACACATATGGTTCTGTTTTGCTGCTGGTCTCCTCATACACGTGCTTCATCAATGAGAGCACTACTCTAGGCATGCATTTATTATACTACTTTAACATAACTGAACATAAGGAAAACAGTTCACATTTTGATAAGTGATTTGTTTTGGTGGCAGGCTTATTTTTTAATGAAAACAATGCAAATCTCTGAAGTTAAATGGCCAGTTTGACAACCTGAATTAGAAACTTAAGTCTGTAAAAAAATCTTAAGATATGGAAAGCTGTTACTGAAAAATACACAATCTAACTTTTTTTCACTTTGGCTTTTTCTTTTATAAATGAAGATTTGTGGTAAAAGTCAAAGATATCTCCAAGTCACATAGGGCATCATTTGTCACTGCTTTGTAATAGAAATATATCTCATAAGTATTTTTAACTTGAATTTCAAATAATTTAAGATTTCTTATTAAAGCTCTAGTCCAAGTTTCCAGCTGTTAAATTTTCAAAAAATATAATTTGGGTCTCTGATAGAACTTAGCTAGGCTAAGCTACTTGGATAACCTTACAGGACAGTGAGGTTCAAACAGAGATCATTTCCTGAACATGGTTGATCTTTAAGAGAACAATTTCCTCACCCCAACAGTTATGCAGGATACTGCCAGATCTCCACTACAAAAAACCTGCCAGAATTTCTAGACAATTGTTTACCATCCATGTTAAAAACCTTGTACCACCGGAGGCAAAGCAGATAAAGTAAACTTGTTTCTAGTCTATTCACCTAAATAAACTCATAAAGTTGTATAGAAAAATGAATAGAAAGTAATTTTATCTGATCTGTCAGCCAAAAAAATCATTACTAATTCTCTATAAAAAAGAGAAAACTCAACCATAACATATTTAAATAAAAATGCCAACATTGAAGTCTTTTAACAGCAAGACATAGAAAAAGGTTTGCAAATGCAAGATGATGCTTAAAATGAAAGCTATGGTTTGAAATTAGTATTCATAGTAAGAGACTAAAATCTTGTCACTGCAAAATTCCCCTTGGCTTTTGGCATCGACATGGAAAGATTTTAGTCTTTTGGTCACTTGAAGCTGCTACAAAACACAACAATAAGCCTTTAAAATGGGGGCAGGGGAAGTATGCAATTGAAAGATAGTAAAGGTAACTACATCATATACAAGTAAAACGTAGTTTGAAATAAACAGTCATTTCTGCTAGGGATCTGAAGATATAAGAACAGTTTTCCACTATCCCTTCCTTTTTGAAGAGGATCCTCTAAAGAAAATAATTCCTATAAGTTACTGTTAAGTGGTGTTGCCTGGCAGCAGCTTCAATAGGCTAGTCTTCAATCCAAGTAATTAAGTAATCTTACAAGGAATAATCATACATGGCAACAGGGTAAAAAAGCAGGGCAGTTCTTCCATGCACAAACATTTCAGGAGAAAAACCATTAATTGTAAAGATAACCATCAGGTTTCAGGTATCCTAGCACACTCTAAACCTAGGTTTTGCTTTATACCATTGGTGACTAAAATTAACAATAAGTTTTGCAGTGAGGTGTTTTGTTTTTTTTTTTTTGCCTGCAACTATATACACATTGCAAAACTATTCTGCGTCACATGATTTTAAATGAAATAAATACAAAAATGAACCACACAATCAACACATAACTTTAATACTCCACATTTATCTTGATCACAATGGTGGTAACCTCCTAGTCAACAATCTTGTGAGTTGAGGAGTTGATTCTCATTCTCATATCCATCAGGAAGGTATGCTCTCCGTAGCTGGTCTGACTTGGGTATGGAGCCTCCATTCTTCACATGGCGAGATAGGAAAGCACGGACTGCTGGGTGATCAGCCTTCTCAAGCGGGATGTTGGCTTCCAGGCACATTTTCACGAAGTCCTGGATAACACTGACTTTCTCTGTCTGCGCAGTACTGTTGCACTGAAGGGATGCAGCCAGGGGCCTCTGCTTCTTTCTCACATTCTGCTCTTCAAATTCTGCCTTCCTCTTGGTGTGAGTCTTTGACTTGAGGTGGTCACTAATGGCAGACTTGCGGACATGATTCAGAACCACATTGCAAGACGTGCAGAAGAGTTTTCCCCCATCCTCATGCAGCTCGCCTCCGAACTCAGTGACTCGGTCCAGGGGCGTCACATACAGAGCAGTCTTAGAACGGTTTCGAGCAGGTGGTGCCGTTACCACAAATCGCTCCATTCTGACTCTAAATAAATATGGTTCTTTCAAGACAAAAGAAACAAAGATAAGTATTAGAACAACAGTTCATTCTGGAACAATAAAAGGCAGTATATAAACACTTTAAGATTAAATACTTCAAAACAACTTAAATTAGTAGACTGTGTGTCTATTAATCTTAGCTTACCTGAAATATATAAGGAAAGGCAAAACTAGAACAAGTTACTAAGCAGTAGCAATCAGGTCTATTCCTTGATTTTTATGAAATTCAAATAAATTAGACTATAAAGAAAGAACTCAAACTATCCCAGATGTCACTATTATTTAGGGAAACCTAATAACAGGTCAACATTTAGGATATAAATTACATTCAGGATATAAATTGTATTAATCTCATCCAATTTAGATATGTATTCAAGTTCAAAAGAGTTTCTTTCCTGTCACAGTTCTGGGACAACTGAGTTTAGAAAACTGTGGACAAAGTTTTTCAAACAGGTGGGCCTAAAAACTGCCATAATTCTATATGAAGATGAATATAATTTCCAAAACTGTTCTGAGTAAAAACCACAAAAAAAAATTTAATTAACAGCAACAATGACATTAAATTGTAAATCCAAAATACACAGTTCAAAGTAAGTTATTTTGTAATGCATGTATACGTCTATTTTCTAAAAGGTGTTACGATATGCAGTCTTATTTCTCCAATACTTTTTTGTTTCCTTTTCCCATTAAAATTAGTAATTACATTTAACATTTACTTCACTTATTAACTAGTAAGAACAAAATCAAGAACATAGTGTCTAGTATACAGCAGAACCTCAATTAAAATTTGATGGAAAAAGTGAGTACCTTCACTATTTGTCCAAATATTTATATTTAATCTAGAAGCAGCCTAATAATTTCTCAATTTACAATAGTAACACACTTTTATGAGCACTGCACTAAATACCAACATCACAGCCTTATGGGCATTGAAACCTTTAGATAATGAACATATTTTGGTAGGTGACAAATCATCAAGTCTTAATTGTTCCCTGGCCATACCTTTGGGCTCTTACAATAACCAAGACTTAAGAAGTTAAAGTGAATTTGATAAAATTCAAGATGGAATTCTGTCTGCACAAATATGATAGAGAAATAATTCTAAGTGTGCTCTGAAGAATTATGCTTTATAAGTGCAATCAGAAACGATGGAGTATTCAATGAATACATACTAGAGAATAGCTGGGTAACATGAACTCTGTTTCAAAAGAACTTTATTTGCCAACGTATCAGACATTCATGGACACAGAAGATTAAACATTCCACAGAAATTCTGAAAGTACGACAAAGTATAGGTTTTAATAGATTTACTTTTATTTTTTCCACTTTTTTTTTTTAAATTGCATAGCTCTCATTTGCCAAATATTGTGTTAGGCTACAGGTTTGCAACGGCACAGAAGACAGCTATGATTCCTACCTAATACTTACCATTACACGTTTATATTCTAAGTAAATAGTATGTGTTTTACACTCCCCCGACAAATCAGTACCAATTATGATTAACGGTTCTAACCTAGTTGTGGGAAATATTAAATATTTGTGCCCCGTAATGCGTAAATCTTACTTTCTACGTAAAAAGTCTTGTATCTTTAAACATTTGGATTTCAAAAACAATAAGCATGTAATTCTTTATAGCATAAAACGCTCAAACATTTGTGCTAATGTGAAAGGCCTATACTTTCCAATGTGTTTGTAATTTCAAAAAGTCTGTTTGTGTTACTGCAGAGGCAAATTTCCACCCAGTAGAGGATGCTCGAGTTTACACACCCAAAGAACAAAAGTGTTTTCAGTAGAAGATAAAGACATTTTCAACAGATGAAGAAATTAAAAAGTGCAGGAATTAGCCAACAAAAGAGAAAAAGCAAATCGTTTACTAGATCAAAATAAAACTCATCATAAGTTTTCAAGTTTAAATGTTTACCGGATTAGTTTCCAGTTTTTTTCGTCTTGATACTTAGCAGGGAAGGGTCTCCAGAGCAAAACCAGAGACGCATCAAATCCTGGCACTTTCCGTTTGTTCAACCCCGGAGATGCCTTCAAATCAGTTTTTCAACAAGTGGTGGGGGGGAAATAGTTTCTGGGCTTGCACCCGATTTTCCCTGCTGTGCCAGGAAGTCATGCCTTTACTGTAAAACACGAAAAACAAATGGAAGGAAAAAATGGGGGACGAAAGGAGGGCGACTGAAAAGATGAACAAGAACGTCAACAACTGCCACCACGAAGGTGTTTCTAAAACCACTTTATAGGTAACTCCACACTACAAACCCGATCCCAGCGTTTACCCTAACACTTCCCCTCCCATGTCCTCCTCCGTGGTCCGCCCGCTTGGCACCTCCTCCCGCTCCCCAGGCCTCAGGGTTCGGGCGGGGGCGCGGGAGAGGCGGGGCGCGGGACGTTCCCGATGTCTGGGCTCCCACCTCGGGCGCCGAGCCCAGCACGCCGGCGCCCCGCCGTCCCGACCCCGCTAGCCGGGCAGGGCCGAGTCCCAGATCCCAGCTGTGGGCCCCGGAACTCCACAGCCGAGTTGGCGGCAGTCTCAAGGGAGGCGGCGGCAGGCGCCTGGCGGAGGCGGCCGCTGTCAGGCTTCCCGTCTCCTCCCTCTTCCTCCCGCCGACAACTGTGCCCCGGCCCCGCCCCCGGTTCCAGCTTCAGGACGGAAGGCCCCGGGCCCAGAGCCCGCACCAACGGCTGGGCCCACCCTCGGCCTCCCTAGCTCCTTGGTACCGTAGGATCGAGGCCGCCGTTAAGGAAAGTGGACGAGGCCCGGCCGGAAAGGAAAAGAGAAGGAAAAAGGAGGAGCAAGGGAATAAGAGAGGAGGAAGATCCGTCGCTGCCGCCGTCGCCGCCGTTGCCCGATCGAGCCCCGCGGCGGCCGCCGTGTCCCCCGCCGCGCCCCGTCCGCCTGCACCGCCTATGGCAGAGCCCGTAGGCGGTCCCCAGCAACCGCCGAGCAGCATTGACCAACAGTCGGCCGGTCTATCAAACGGACTGCTGATTTCACCAATAGGAGTAGAAGGGCGGGCATGGGCATGATTGGCAGCTTGCGTTTTCCAATGAAAACTGGGGGCGTGGGTGGGCGGAGCCGGAAGTAGAGCCCAGCCGAGAGGCCCCTGTCCGGCTAGGGAGGAGGGAAGGGGGAGGGAACTAGAGAGGAGGAGGAGGTTAGCCTAGGCAGCTACAGCGGCGGCGGCGCAGGGGCTGGTACGCGCTGGGCGGCGAGAGCCTCATGGCGGAGGAAGAGAGCGATCAAGAGGCCGAACGCCTCGGAGAAGAGCTTGTGGCCATTGTGGAGTCCCCGCTGGGCCCTGTGGGGCTTAGAGCTGCGGGCGACGGCAGAGGCGGCGCTGGCAGCGGCAACTGCGGCGGCGGCGTCGGGATCAGCAGTCGGGATTACTGCCGACGCTTCTGTCAGGTGAGGCGCCCGTTGGCCGCCCCGACTTGTCACCCGAGTCCTGGGCCTCTCTGCGTCTCCTGGCCTTCTCGTCCATGAATGTGGTCTATGTCCAGTGCCCGCTCCTCCCGAACAAGGAGGGTGAGGCTGAAGCTCCCTCCTCCACCTATCCGGCTTGGGGTGGGGGGCGGGGAGCAAGGCGAGGGTGACCCACGGGCTTAGGGTTGCTGAGAAAGTGAGAGTTTGTCGGGAATGAAGGGGCTGGAAAGAAGGAAGGTCGGCTGTCCGGAAAGCTCTGTCCTGACATGCCGTCCCTACCCCAAACAGACCTTCCTGCCCCAGAGTCCCGCCTTTCTTATGTTTCCTACCCTGCCTGGTCTTTCTCACCTCATTTGGCACCTCTGGAAACATTTTCTGCCTTCCCCTCTCCGCCGATTGCCCCCCGTGTTCTCCCCTTTTTTCCGGGATGGGAGACATGCCATCTTTCCTGTCACTGCCACTGTTCACCCTCTTCTAGGGTCTCCTGTCATCCCCTCACAAGATCTCGCTGGGCCGGCTCTCCAGTTGGCGTAGACGCTGACCCACGGTGATTTAGTTACTTTTTTCGGACAGAGGGTGCGTTAAGGCAGTGTGATTGTCATTTTTTTTTTTTTCTTTTTTAACCTCCTTCCCTTGACACACGCACTCTTTTCTAATTAACTGCTCATAATGAAAGCAATTTTCCTTAAACTCTTGCTCCGGTTAACATTACCAATCTCCCTCACCTTCAATTTATAATTTATTTTATTTAGCCTGTAAAATACAGTGTCTGAATGGTGACATTAAATTATTTACTCAGTCGATCGTCACAGGGGTTTGATGTTGTTCAAAGTGTTTGTAATCAAATATGGCAAATATACCCCTACTTGTTTAGAGGTAAAGTTTGAGTACTCTGAATTCTCATCTACTTGCATTTATAAGTTAAACGGTTTGTTCCCATTCACAACAGTCTTTTTTTGCAAGCTATTTTGGGAAAAAAAAAATTTAACTGCTCCTTTTCCATCCCATCCCTTTTAAAATGTATCTATTATTTTGGACGTACAGGGTTCAGATTCTGGCTCCACCATCTCCTGGCAGAAATTACTACCTTGAACAAGTTACTCTGTGTCAAAGAGGAATAATAGTTAAATAAATATGTGAAGGGTTTGAATCAGGTAGCTATTAATTTCATTCTGATAACAAGTAGGAAATAAAGTTAATGAGAAGTGGGCATCATGTTTGCTGACATTTCTTTCAATGCTTGTACGGAATTTCTTTCAATGCTTGTAAGGGAAAGCTTGTAAGAATTCCCTTACAAGCACTGAAAGAAAAAGGATGGAGTTAATATTTTTCAGGTAAGTTTTTAATGCTTTAATTTAAATTGCCTTTTGAATTCATGTTTTCCCCCAGTGTCATAAAGAAGTTGGTTTGAAGGGTGTGTCAGTTTCTTTGGCATTGCTATTTAATGACTTTCTTGAAAATGTATTTTTATTTTGATAATTGGCATTCACTTTTATTTTGAAAATTGGCATTCAGTGTCTTGTTTTCAGAGCACTTGTTTTTTCTAACCATACCTTTTACATCTAGGAACTACGCTATTGGTAGATTTTGTATCTATAGGAATTGTAAACTTCTGAAGATTAGGATACAATTTATATTTTTAATATATTCAGGGGCTGAAAATTTATTTAATTTTTTTGTTTTGCTTTTTATATCAATAATGAGCAACTAAAATTTTAAAATAAATGACAAATTTAGCCTGAAAACACAGTGACTGAATAGTGACAGTACAATATATTAAGAACAAATGAAGTTGACTACTTTATGACTTCCCTACCTCCTGTATATCCAAGGAAATAAAACAGGAAGAACTTAATGAACGTTTATTTTCTATTGCTAAATTATGTTAGACTGACATACTTTCATGTTACCAACTTTTACCTGAAACATAGTTTATTACCTGAAACTTTACATATTTTATAATACTCTGGATTACTGATAGATATGCTCTGAGGTTCTGTCCTGATTTTACTTTGCAGGTGAGCTTTGTGAAGTCCTTTTTCATATTAAAGCTTTTGGATGGAATAAAATATTCCTTTATTAATTTGACTTGTATGTACCAGAAATAAAATTCTGCCATAGTAATTGCTTCATTTGTCAGTAAGGGAAGCAGGGGATTATTTAATCTAATTCCTAGTCGAAGATTTCTTTTTAAAAATTTGGTTTTCTGACACTTACTGAGGCTAATATTAAGTATAATAATTTGTATTTATTAGTGAATGACTTATTCATGAGTAATGAAATGGATATTGTGCAGTTGGGGTATGTGACAGTTAACTAAATACATGAATTATACAGACAGCCTAGTGGTGTTTCAAAGAAAGGCTCTGGTTTATCTTCCTCTTTTTAGAGGGAAATATGAATCAAAATTTCTTGGCAGTTAGTTGTGTGGGCAAAGGGAGAGAGGAAGGAACACTTCTTTTCCAGAGCGGTTTTTGTGTCTTTTACCATAAGGAAAAGTAAAGCAGAAGATACAGTGTAATGTTGGACTGGCCCTATCACATCCTCCCTTGGCCCTTGTTAGCTGACTCAATAAATGCTTAAATAAAACTGGCCCTTAACTGATACTTAATTTGCTTTGAGGATGAAAAGTAGGGGAAAGTAACTGTTATGGAAGACCTACTAACTCTTAAGCTTCAGACAGCAAGTAACATAGCTGAAATTGAGGACTGAGCAAGTTAATGTGTCTTAGTTTCCATTATGTAGACATGCTGGGATTTGAACTCAGTCTTCAGTTTCTGCTGAAAAGCAGATTGAAATTATAAGTAAATCCTCAATTATAGAGGGTTTTTTTTTTTTTTTTTTTTTTTGCAAGTGCTGTGAAAGGAAAAAGAAGTTACTGGAAATAACTTGGTATCATGGATGAAAAGTTTATAAAGTACTCTTTCATTATGACACAGTAGTAAACAATATTTCAAGAAGCAGACTATTATTGTCTGACTTGTTAAGTGCTGTAAACACTTTTCTAATTCCTGAAAGTTTTAATGATTCAATTTATTTTGTCACCAAATACACTAAATTTGTTATAAATTGATTGTAAACTAAGGAAGTTAAGATACTTCTTAGTACAGTGCCAGAATGAATGTAATGAGTAATAAAAAACAATTTCTGGAAGCATTTTGATATGTTGATTGAAATATAATTTAAAATTATTTCATACTACAATGGGGTTAATATTCATGCCACAAGGATGTCATGAATATAAAAAGAGAGAAGAATATAAAGTACTTAGTATTGTACCTAGCACACAGATAGACTTAAATAGGTAGATGCTATTAGTATTTCTCTCTTGTAAAATCCTCTGAGGATTCAGGAGGGACGTTAGAGATAATCTGTAGGTAGCTTATAATTTGTGTTTTGCACTAAACTTGAGAGAAA